CATTTTTTATCCAATAAATGCAGCCTTAAAATAAATAAATAAATAAATACATTTCAATATTTCAATACACAATTGTAACATATTTCTTGTCATAACAACTTTATTTTCACACAGTATTCTTACATTTTCTGGTTAAACTTTATATTTTGACAGAGGGGCCTTTTATGTGATTTTTTTACTGTGTTTCATTGGTTTTGTTTTATACTGTAACATTTGCAGCAGCTGCCAAAAACATTTGTAATGTGAAAATATTGTGAACCTGAAGTGTTCTGTATTCACTATGCACTTTGTAAAAAAAAAAAAAACCCTGCGACTGCTGAAACCATTGAATCATGAGGCACACATTGAGTATATTTAATGATTAATAATCATAGTATCAATCATGTAACTGTGCAACCTTAAATTGTTTGATTACCATATTGTCAAACAACAAAACCGTTAATCTAGGATCATGCTCTACTCTATTAAACCACGCTGTGTGACTGTAGATGCTGTAACGTACTGAATGGTTCATTAGTTTTAAGAGCAGTGTTTAAGGAGCGTTTGCACTCTTCTACTGCCATATTAAAGGGCATATAATCCATTGGTAAAGGAAATGTAGCATATAGCCTGCCACTATATCTGTAATCCTCTCCTTGCCCAATCTGCATCCTAATTGATGCAGTTAACTCATGATACGTGTGTTTCTCTTTATTTCAGAGATCAGCAGGGTACGAAAGGACATGTACAACGACACGCTAAACGGCAGCACGGAGAAGAGAAGCTCCGAGCTCCCGGACGCCGTCGGCCCCATCGTTCAGCTCCAAGAGAAACTCTTTGTGCCTGTTAAAGAATATCCTGACGTGAGTCTCAAACCTAAAACCCATTCACACTGCAAATACACTTAGAGCTCCATCACAGGGTTTTAAATAATTAATGCCATTTTTGCAAGTACACGTGGGTTTGTTTGTTTCATTAAATTAAAAATTCAATGACAAATGATTAAAAATGCATCCCGAGAACCTTTCAGTCACATGATCTAGTCTCGGGCAGCAGTTGAAGGTCAGTTAAAAATGATTTCAAGTAAATGCCTGCATACACACACAGGCTCTTTACTGAAGCTGAGTGAGTAAATGGAATAGTAAATAACTGTGTGTAGCTGCTCAGTATGGCCCTTATTTAATTACAGAGACATACAAGTCAATGTAATCTAGTTTTCCTTGCATTAGGACATGGGCCCACGTCCAGTATATTGATTTCATTAAGACGTACTGAAGGAGTGAGGTTGCACAAAGTGTTTGAGTCCATTTAATTTATTGTGTTATTAAGCTGATGGTTTGTGGTCGACTGTGCATCTGAGCAGTATAAATTCGCTGTGCGTCTGAGTGTCACCATCAAGATTACCTTTTTCATTTAAAATTTAATTTATTATTATGGGATAGTTCACCCAAAAGTTCAAATTCAGTCATTTCCTCACCCTCATGTCGCTCCGAGCTTGTATGACTTTTCCTTGTCCCGTTAAAAAACATATTTCGTGAAAAAGAAGTGATTAATTGTACTGAATGTGCACTTGCAGTGTACTTAAAATCTTATAAGAATATATTTAAAAACTTTACTTGCAAATAATATAGAATTAATGAAATAAAAGACCACTAAAGTGTACTTAAAGAGAGTACACTGTTTCCTAACACACTAAAATAAAGTAAAAATTAAAGTTTTACTTTAAAGTACATTTTTATATTTTTTAATAATCAATACATTAGGTGCATTTTAATAATATTTTGTTGTGCTTAAGAAGTTCACTTATTTTTATGTTTTATTTTCACATTACCAACATGCTAAAGCACATAAGTAAAGTACCTGATTATAATTTTAACTGTAGTGTTTTATTCAATATTAAATTTAAAGTGAAATATTTTAAACTGCAACTTCATCATTACAAATGTATTTACATATATGACATACAGGTTTTAATAGAATATCATTTGATTAGTATAAAACTGTATATAGTATAGAATAGTGGATTTTAGTTTACTATACAGTAAATGATTGTCAGTACATTCAACAACAAAATTTAAAAATATTTCCCACACAACAAAAGTAATTACGAAATTACGTATAAAGATGTATTTAAGTCCTACATAAGTGGGTCAAAAAGAACTCTAAAGATCAACTAATTGCAATTAATATAACTTTAAACTATAATACATTTTCTTTTAATTGCATTAAACATGCAATTAAGTGTCAGAAAAAGTGCAATCAGTTTAAAGTAAATCATTTCCATAAGTTCTCTTTTTAAAAGTATGTCAAAGTGTACTTCTTTTTCACAAGATGTGGCAGGATATTATTCAGAAAACCACCTTTTATGTTGCACAGAAGACTAAAAATGAGTGAGTAAAGACAAGATTTTCATTTTTAGGTGAATTATTCCATTAAATCCAGCAGTGCCCCTGCATGTATTTTTCTGAAAGTGGTATCCTACCTCTCTCTGAGTCTCTGCATCTCTAGTAACAGGGGTGACATTGAATTCTCCCTCGCTCTTCAAGTTTGTGTTGAGTCAGAGCCGCTCAACCGCATCACCAACAACCCGGTCGGTGGTTAACAAATCTTTCAAGCAATCGCTGACAGATCCTGCTTGCCTAAGGCGCCCAGCCCTAGGGAGCCGGTTCCGTGCTGATTGATCCCAATTAACTTATTCCATCCCAGCTTGATTCCTGCATGGCCAGCACTGGTTGAGTCTCTCCAGCAGGGGTGTAAATACTGTTTGGGACTAGAGCCCTCCATTTTGCTGAAGTTTTCTGGGGCTGTTTATGTCCTGTATTTCCCACGGGAGAGGGCTGCGATGTTAAACAACGCTGATGCAGTGGCGCTTGCATGTTTTTTGACTAATTCTTGCTTCAACCTATAGCGTTGTTAACGTGGCTTGTTTGATCCATAAAATACACACAATGAGAGCGGATAAGAGGATATTTGAAAGTCATCGAGGCTGCACCTCTGGCATGCTTGGCATTAATAATATTAATATTTTATTGTTTCTTGCGCATAATACTGGAACTTTATAAAAAGCTAATTTCATTTTATATTCAATTACAACTCCAGTTTTCAAGGGTATGATGCTTTCTGTCTGCAGTTGAAGCATTGTGGGTAATTTAGCTCCTGCTCTTAAAAGTCTGAGAGTTAGCCAGCACTGCAGTAAAGGCTATCGTGAGTGTGTGTGTGTGTG